CTGCCCAGGAGGGGGAAGGCTCTCTGGAGCTTGGAAAGAAGCAATGAGAAGAATGATGCTGTTGATGTTGACTGAGTTTGTGCTGGTGCACACTCCTGTGCCACCAAGGCGCCTCTCCACAGAGTGGATAAACATAAGGGAGCTGGGAAATAGAAACGTGCTGTGGAGGGCACCAGCAATCTCATGAGGGTTGGTTAAATAATAAAGTATTTGCTAATAAAAGAAAATTTTTTCCATGCTATTTCCAGGGGTAATAAGCAGAGGAAGTGGAGAGAATAGATTCTGCTGTTGCATGCTTGTGCATGATCAGGCCACCAAATTCAAAACACATGAGTTTTGAAAAAGTCCACAACTTCAGCCTTATAAAATGGGTTCCTTTCCCTGATTCTTGCCTGTGATCAGATAATGACCTTCGTAAGCAAAACAACCCCAGCTGTATTTCATAATGGGAATATACTTCTGTACATTGTAATGAGCTGTTAACAGGGAACAGTATCGTGTGAAAATCTGCACGTTTCCCATGATGCTGCCCTGATTCAAAAGCCACACATAAATTACTTGGTATTGCAGATTTCAAGGTCAGGATTGGTCACATAAGATCTAGTTTTTCACCCCCAAAACCCAATGTTTTTAGCAGGCTGGAATTTAAAATAGAAAAAGCTGATCAGTTGGGAATCTCAAGAGTTGTGGGAAGTACCTTGGTACCTGTGTCAGGTACTTGAAAGTGTGTGGCTGGAGTGACGAAAGGGAAAATAACACCTTTGCTCCTCCAAAACTCCTCCTTACGAGGCTCCTGAAGGAAGGCATCCTGAGCTTTGCAAGCAGTTGTGAGCTGCTGAAATTCACTGAGTTTTGGGGGGTTTCTAGCAGAGCCAGGAGCTGGTTTTCTCTGCTAGGATGAGTTCCCAGGGTTCCCCTCCTGATGCCAAGCAGCACACAGACACATGGCTTGGGCTCCAGAGTAATTTCTGCACTGAGGCACTTTTTCTGCTGGATGTGAATACTTGATTATTAAGCATATATTACAATTCTGAATATTATTTTAGCTGTAAGTTTAGTCTCCATCCTCTCCAGCTTTTTAGGTTTGATCATATTCCAGAGGCTTACTAAAAACATGCAAAGAATTTCAGCGAAACTCTGGAACACTTTTTGTTAAATTCTTTCAGTCATGCAAGCTAAATTAAATGACAGCTCTGTCCACCAAAAGATTACAAATATCAATCAGACGTCTCCCCTAAACTCATGAAGGAATTAAATGTTTTTCTAAAAGTCTTCTATTCCCCTTAATAATCTCTTTGGCTGTTCTCTTTACTTTACATATTTTTGAAGTGTGTTGAAAGGGATGATTTCTGCCCTAAAGGAGCACAGTGCTTGTAGCTTGCTGACAGTATTTAATCTGAATTTGTGGGCACAATTTTGGGTATTGCTCAAATTGATATTTGCAATACTGCGGGCTTATTTCCAAAAGGAGAAAACAGCTATTAAACTGCAGTCCAAGAAACATGATGCTGAGCTCTTTCCAGAGATGGGAGATTAATGATAAAAAAGTATGTTGCAGCTCCGACTGTTTATGTTAAAATTGGAAAAATAGGACCAGGTGGGCTCAGTGGGCTGGTGGGATGGGGAGCTCTGAGTAAAGTGGTTGTAAAGAATGAGGAGTTAAAAAGATTTCAGCATACAGTGGCCTGTCCAAGACAAGCTGAGTCATTACCCCGCGCCGCTGCATCTGTTTTTGTCTGGTCACTGTGCAGTTATGAGCAATTGTGTAAATCACGCTGGGATGCCCTGGGGAGCTGTCTTAGCAGGAAGGCTCGGCACACCGTTCCCATCTGCCTTGTGCTGGAAGCTGTAGGGAGACCACAAGACAAGCCAAACAGCAAAGACGTACATGAAAAGCAGATGTGACTGCCCGGTGTCCCTTGGAGTCCCTCCTGCCCTCGCCCTGGCACTGCCCACCCTACCCATCCAGAGGGGCTGCTTTGAAAGGGATGAACTTGGAAATAAAACTGGTGGGCACCTGATCCATTAGAACTTGTAGTGAGGAGCAGAGGGAGTTTGTGGCCGTGGTGGTTGTGTGGATGGGGGAGGAAAGCCCTGCAGCCCCCTCGGAGGTGTGTGGATGTGTGTGCCTGGCCTCCCACAAAGAGTGCTCCCCTTTACATCAGTGTATTTTTGCCATTATGGTTTAACAGAGAAGAGCAGATATGACAGTAAACTCTTACAGCTGGGTGAGTGGTGATTGAGTTAAACCTATCTCACTGTTACATACTACTTTGGTGATCACCAGGCTGTGTATTTTCCTGCCTCTTACCATGGGCTTTAAACCACAGGACATGAATAAACTGTAATGTTAGGGTACAGTCAGCTCTGCTTGCTATTTAAGGATGGGGAATCTATGTTCAGTACACCAAATATAATTTCATAAAGCATGCAAACCATCAGGGAGGTTGTGGAGTGGTTGATGAGTGGGACTAGGGCTGCTGCTCTGGATGAAGATGAGACATCCAACAGCATTCCTGGGTCTGGATGTACCATTGGAGTGGAGTGGGATTTCCACCCCATGCCTGGTCTCCTGCTAACTCTTCCAGTAGGTTTTGTGTCATGGGCTCTATTTCCCCCACAGGCAGCAGCAAAATTTAATTGATCCTCTCTATAGTTATCAGCAGCTGGGGAGGGCGTGCCTGAGGATGGAGCTTTTCTCCTGGCAAAGGAAGGAGCAGTGTGGCAAAGGGATGTCACGTTCACTTGATCCCAAGTTGGGGCCCACGTGATGTTTCTCAGAAAGTTCCTGTTTTATTGTGGCTACAAAGGCATAGAAATTAAGCTGCTAATTTATGGCATGCCAAGGAAAGAAGTAGTACTACAAGAAATGCTCAGTTATTTTCATGTTTGAAAACACACAATTGAAAAATCCTGATTTTTCCCCTTGCCCCCCCACTGAGCTTATTAAATCTGAAAATATCCCAAAGCTTAATTCTCCCTGCCAGAAAGTTCCTCTGCTCTTTTGGGTAAGTCATGAAAGTTGTGCTGCCTGGGCTGCGCAGTGGGGTCCTGTCTGGCTTGTTCTGTTCCTGGGATGCAAGAGAGTGAAGATGCCACAGGGCAGTGAGGATCCCACAGGGGAATGAGGATCCCATAGGGCAGTGAGGATCCCACAGGGGAAATGAGGATCCCACAGAGGGAGTGAGGATCCCAGAGGGCAGTGATGATCCCACAGGGCAATGAGGATCCTGCTGCTGAACAGTCGTGACCCCTTCCAGCAGGATGGGCTGTGGTTTTGGCAGTGGTGCACTGGGTTTGAACTGGTGTGGGTGCTAATCAGCTGCTGTGCATGGCAGACCCTCATTCCACCCCAGCTGAGGACTGCTGTTAGCTGAGGGCTTTGTTTGGAGGAGCAAAGTACAAGTGATGGTGTAAAGGCTTGGCTGGCTGGCACATTTGGTGCCTGGGTGGGATCTTCCCTGTGCTACCCCCAGCACTGCACTTGCCTTTTTGTTTGTTATTTTTTGGTGGTTGCACCATATTCTGGGAGAAGCTTGTAAATGTCTAAACAAAGTAAAATTCCTGAAAAGTGAACTTAACCAGCCTGAGCCAAAGCCTGTTGGAGGCCATGAAAGCATATCCCCTGAGTTTTGAGGAGATAAGCTGCATTTTGCTGCCTGCCATGGATGTGGGACTTGGCCAGCATGGTTCTCACACCAGGCAGACTTTGGCACATGCCAGGGAGAGCTCTGCTGCAGCTGGGGATCCCAAAGGGGTCTCACATGGAGCCATTTGTTTTTCATTACGTTATGCTCCTCTAATATAAACACTGAGGTATGTGGACATTGCTGTGGACAGGGCGAGCCAGATGCCAAAGGCATTCCTCCAAGGCTGTATAAACTTCAGGAGATAAATATTTTAGAAACTGTTTTCTAAGGCTAGCATAATAGTTTAAAAATATAACCTAGATTCCAGATATTAAAAAATGCCTTGCAAGGCATGCATATTGCTGCAAGAGATGGACCTAACCAAACCCCTGAAGCATGTGGAAAGCTCCCATTTTGTAATATCTTCTCTGTTACTTTATCCTTTTTTTTTTTTCTTAGCGCTGAGATTAAATTCAAGAAGCTTTTAACAGCAGAGTGGCAGTGATAGAAATTTTCAGCATATATTAACTAGCTGACTCACACTTTTTCAAAGGGGATCTGGGTTTATGATGGAGTAGCTGGCTGCTTTCAGCAACAGCAAAATCAGGAAAGTCAGCGAAGAGAGGAAGCTGATAGTTTATAATGTGTCTAATCCCTCTGTGTGCTGTGATGGGAGTGTGGGGAGCTCCCACCCATGTTTGGAAAGTGATCCTGACCCCGTGCTCAGGGGAGGCATTCAAGTTCTGTCTCAGGGGTCTGCAAACTCTCACTGTTATTTAGGACCCAGCTTTAAAACATCCTTTAAAAGATGCTTTCATCGTGTCACTTGGCTACGCCAGAAGTTTTCACTAGCATCCTCTGTGCTTCAAGAGTGAGAAATGAGATTTTTTAGGTTATGTTTGTGGGGTCCATACCGACCTGAGAGATCTGCCATTTCCTTTCATGTGTTACATCTAAAATGGGAGAGTCCCTGAAAGCAGTGAGATTCCCTGAACAGAGGCTCTTCTTTGTGCTGTTTTTTCCCCTGTCTGGCCTACCTTTGGACATGTGTTTTGTAGCTGACCCCAGAACTTTGGTGACACTGGGGTCTTGCAGGGCTCATGTGATTCTGGCTGGGCAGGAGCCCAGAATTACTCAATGTGGTTTTGCCTCCTCCTTTTGTTTGTTGCACTGAAGTTTTTTTGTGCAGCTTTGTCCATGAATGAGCCCGAGCTCCTCAGTGCTTTGGCACAAGGAGTGCTGGGGTCTTGTCCCACTGTCCTGGCTCCGCTGACTCTTGTCCCCCTGTCACCTGCTCCCCCAGCGAGTGAGGATGGAGCAGCAGGAGGGTGGAGGGAGGCAGTGAGTGACAGTGCCCCTCTTGTCTTTCAGCTGCTCAGAGGGATGACTTTGTCCCGCCGAAAAGCTCCGGGAAAAGCCGCAGAGGAGGAGGAGGAGAGCGGAGACTGCGACGATGAAGATGAGTGCGGCAGAGGCTCTGGGGACGGCGAGCTGCGAGTGAGGAACCAGCTCCGCTTCTTAGCAGGTGATGGGCACGGGGCCCTGCCACAGCTGCCCCGCTGTGGGGTCCAGGTTTTGGTGGTGGTGTGGGGAGCTGCTGCCTGGGCTCTGCTCAGGCACCCCCAGTGCCACAGCCCAGAGCTGCAGACACCCAGAATTGTGCTGGCCGCGGTGCCGCTCGAGGCAGCAGCTGGAGAAGAAATGCCTCTGCTTTTCCAGGCTGGTTCTGTAGGGGTGTACTGAGGGCAGCCCACTGGAGAGGATTTGAGGCAAGTTGAAAATCTGACGTAGGTCCCAGGGTCACCCTCTTCTCTCCTTGCCACTGCTGCCTGCAATTCTGAGATTCAAGATGAGCTTCTCATCTTCCTGGTGGGCACCAGAAAGTCAGGAAGGCTTGTTTGACTGCAGCAAATGATGGCTATTTCTGATGTAGGGTTTAGAAACCCCCAAAGATTTTTTGCAGATACCTCAGACTCATTTTGCAGAAGTGATTTAGGTACTTGGAAGCCTAAAAATTGCTTTGCTCCCCAGTGACCTGTGAGTCATGTCCTTGGTTCCTCTGAAAACAGCCCTGAGGCACTCGTGGTGTTAGTAATGAGGCAGCCCCTGGTCACCCATTGGGAGGAGAAAGCAAAGGACCAGCTGTGACTTGGGCAGTCCCAAATGCTGCTGGTGTGGGCCTTCTCCTAGGCCCACTGACCACTCTGTGGAGCTCAGCAGCATCACCTGGTTTGCAAGCCCAGGCTGCTGGAGGCTGTGTCCATCCAGCAGGGATGAGCAGTGCTGGATGTTGCTCTGTGGGCTGGAGGCTTGGCCCAGTTGATGCTGGTTCCAGTGCTACACGGTGCTCTTTGAGAGACCAGACAACTGAACCTGGATAAAATCAGCTTTGCAGCTTTGAAGTTTAAAAGGCAAATTTGGGCTCCTAAACGAAGCACAGATGTTTATAAATTCCCTCCCATTGGTCTGGGATAATTAAAATATCCTTAATGAAGTGAGAGTTGAAATATTAAATGCCAGTCTCATATCAAAGATTATTGACACATTATGTAAAATGCATAAAATACATATATTCAGATATTAAGTAAGGGAAAGAAAAGACTTCTCAAGTCCTCCACTCTAAGTCTGAAAGAGAAACATAGAATTTTGAGAGGGATAAAACACACTTAATTTCATCCAAGAACTAAATAACAAAGTTTATGTTAAAGAAATGCAGGTGATTCACAGTGTCCTGTGCTGAGAGCAGAGATACGTGTTTCATTTTCCACGATCTTTGTGTCACACCTTGATGTTATTTTTAATGTGTTTCTAATTTCCTCTTAAAGCCTTCCCCACACTATCATCAGTGATCTCTGGAGTCGGATATATGATCCTTTCTGCCTTAGTCTGCCTCTCTGGGCTAGTTTAATCACTGTATTCATCTCCCTGGTAACTTGCCCCTCTTGTCGCTGTGCTACAGGAGCATGCAGCAGGACAGGAGGACTTGTCCTGTTTGCTGCTGCCTTTGCTATGGGATGGGGAAATATTAACTTTAAAGCAGTTGTGTCTCTGGGGCATGGGGTTCCTGGCAGGTAAAATCTTTCAGGTTCCTCAGAGTGTGAAGTTTGTTCCAGAGGGCTTTAAGGCACTGATTGAGCTCAGAGAGCATGAGCTGTGCTGTCAGGGGGACTTTCTTCCTTGCTTGCCCATGCCATATGCTCTTTTTCTGTTTTGCTTTGGAGCAGAGAGGTGAAGCTGATGTGACAGTGACAGAATCCTGTTTGGCTGGTATTGGATATAAGCTGTGACTCTGTTCAAGTTTTATGTTGGAAACCAGCCCAGGAAAAGTTGCTGATGGTGTGGAAATACTAATTTTCAACATTTTTGAGAATGATATTTCTTTTTACTTTGAAAGTGTATTTTTCAATTAATTTTTTCCATCATATCACATGTATCTAGCAAGAAATAAAAGGGACCAGAAACCATTCCACATTCCCCCACAACTTCCACAAATTCTAAATTTTAGGGTAGCATGCCGAAGTGAAATGATGCCAGGCTTTGAAATCTGGAAATAGTTTACAAAATGAACTTTTACGTTTAATGTGGGTTTATCTCCCTCCTTCCCAAGGTGGTTACCCTGTAATAGAGGCAGAAGGGACTGGGAGTGGCTGGGGTTGTGTTACCCTGCTTTCATCCCCTGCTGCATGCTCTGCAATGTTAAGGCAGGATGGCAGGCTGTGTTGCAGGGCAGTGGTCAAACCCAAACCCCCATCTGAGCATCTTTGAGTTCTGCTGCTGACCCTGCAGGCAGGGGACACAGTTTGGGGCTTTTCCCTCCTTTTCTCAGGTGCTTTGTTCAGCTTGAGCAAATTGGCAGGGGAGAACTCCCTTCCAAAGGGTTTCCCAAGCCTTGCAGATGGACTTGGTGATGCCTTGAGGATGAGGAGAGGTGAGTGTCTTGGGCTGGCAGTGATTTTGGCTGTTGGTTGAGTGAAAACATTGCCAGATTTTGCCACCTCTGAGGCCTTTGCTTCTCTCTGAGCCAGTGGGATTTTCTCCTGCTCCCTGGTGTGGGTGCCACTGGTCCTGCCAGCTAACTGCAAACATCTGCTGAGCACTGGCCTCACCAAGATGTCCCCTCAGAAGGTCTTGAAAATAAGGAGATAAAAAAGAGCAAAAGAGGCGGGGGGAAAAAAGTCAGTCTAAAATACAGACTAGTTTTGATTTATCGCCTGTTGTATAAAATGTAACCTTTGTTTCCTATTTATAATGAGCCTGTAGTAACTGGACAGTCAACCTAAACTTTAATGATTTAAACATACTTGTAAACTGTCAAGTCAAAAGTTTGTGAGTGACTATAAACATATGTTGGTGAGCCCTATATGCTAATAAATTCATTATTATGTTGCCCCAGTGGGAAACACGGAGATGGCAGGCTTTTTTTCATGATAGGTCTTTTATTGTTTGTCACATCTGCAACACATTAAGGGTTTTGAAGGCAGATGATGTTTACAATAAGGGGGAGGACTGAAAACCTCCCAGCTCAGAGAAGAGTGCATCCTGTTTGTCAATGGAGTACCCATGGAGCCGGCACCCTGGCCATGCAGCTCTAAAAATAGAGCTCTGTTCATACACACACATATATTTATGCCACTCCAATGGCAAAGCATGTCTGCAGATGAATTATAGTATTTCCCCCCAAATTACGAGTCAGTGCAAATGTCTTCCAGGCTGTGTGATGCAGACATGTGCTCTCAGCCTGCTGGGATCAGCGTCCTGCACCAACCAGGCACCCAGAGGGAAAGGAGCCCGGGCTGGTTGGTGCTTTGCTGATGTCCTGCCACCCACTAATTAGCTCACCTTGGGTGTGCTCAGTCTAGATGCCACTTGGAACCAAAGAGGAGCCTGAAATTAAAATATGGATGCTGGACAGGCTCCTGTGCCAGGTGTGGGCTTTATTAAATGCTGGGGGAGAGGAGGTGCAGGCGTTTTGGGGGCTCTGCAAAGGTGGTTTGGTGCAGCTCACCTGTGCCCCTGGGCTTCTCACAAGCTTTGCTGGGAGGAAAATATCTGTTTTAGTAGCTGAAGCACACAGAGAACATTCTGAACAATCCAGCAACTTGGGGAAGGGGTTGGGAGTTTGAGGGGAAGATTTACTCTTCCAAAATATCTGTGTTAGGCAGCAACAAAAGTTGTCTTGGGAACAGATGGATTTGGCAGAATTAAATAGAAATAGTTTGTCCTGGGAAGGGAAGTTGGCCTCATCCCATGAGATATGTAAGGATAGATGTGTGCAATAAAAATATATAAAGATGGCTCTGGAAGTTTGTGTGTGTAAAACAGCTCCCCTGCCTGGCTGCTCCTGCTGCAGTAACCTGCAGTGAGTTTTGCTCTCAGCTGTCCCTTGGCTATTTCTCAGCCCCCAGTGAAGCCCCAAGTTTCCTGTACTCTGCCCATTTGCTGCCAGACCCTTTGTGGGTTTACAGCAATTCATGCCATGCCTAGGTGCTTTTTGAAGAGTCAGCACAGTCTCCCCCTTGACCTGCCCAGATCTGTAACTCTAGTGACTTCTAGTTTGCTTTGCCACTGATTTATCCTCTTGGCAGGGCTTTTTCCTGAGTGCTCTTGTATCAAATTGCAGGGCTTGAATATTGCCTCTGAGCTGGCCAAGTGGGGTGTTTTCCCAGGTGGAAAGGCTGCTTGTTGGTAGCCCCTTTTTCCATGTTACAAAGGTGTAGTTGCTTCCAAATGGGAATTTGGGATGCATGTCACAGGGCAGGGCAGGAGAGGTCTCTGTGTGTGTGGGCACAGGGTGGGACCCCTGTGTTTTCTGTCCTGCACCATGTTTTTGGGAGCTGCTCTGAAACCCTGTGAGTTGCATCTTTCATCCTGTTCTGCTTTCAAACAGCTCCCAAAGCCCAGAAAAGCATTCCATGTCTTAGGGGTCTCAGTGCTGAGATGTTCCTGCAGCTCAGCAGGACCTTCCTGCCCCTGTCCTCTCCTGGGTTCATTTCAGGAGGGTGCCATCAATCCCAGCTGCCTCCCTGAGCTGCTCATTTTGGGGGTCTGACAGCCCCAGGGGGTTTCCCTGTCCAGGTGGTGGCTGTGAATGGCAGAAGGGGAGGCCAGACAGGGTCACTTTGGGTGCTGCCCTCCTGGTTTCTGCTGCTCATTTCTGTGGGAAAAGTTCCTTAGCAATGAGCATTTGTGCTGGAAAAGGGGATGCTCCCAGCCTGGGAATAGCAACCAGAGTCTGCCCAGGCTCACTCCATGTGTGTGCTGGGAGACAGATGAGCACCAGTTAAAATATTTATGAGATCGTGCATTCCCATCCTTTATGGGAATAAAGAGCAGTGATCCCTGCCCTGCCAATGCCTCCAGGGTGCCCCTATCCCAGCACCTGTATCTGCTGCTGCTGCTCTGCTCCATTTACTGCTCACCCCTCTGCTGAGCCAGGCATTCTCAAACACCCAAATGACTTCTAAAATACTCCTTCCACAGGTGGGAGATGTCCCCATCCGTGTGGGTTTTGCTGACAGTGCAGGG